ATTCACTTATATGTGGCAAACCGGAGCACCTGGAGGAAACCCACGCGGACACGGAGAGAACATGCAAACTTCAGCATTTACCTGACAGTTTTCACAACACTGTCCATGAGCACAGACGGCCTCCTCCTTCAGTGTGCATGTGCTGGCGTTACAGCAGGGATTCAGACACTCCTGCAAACACACACACACACACACACACACACACACACTTGTTAAGCATGCTTGCACCAATATGCAGATAACTCAGAACACCGAATCTTCAGTTGACATGTGCATTTAATAATTTAAATATGAAGATTCGTTTTGCTACATTCATTCATTTATTTTCCTTTAGCTTAGTCCTTTTATTAAATAGGGGACGCCACTGAGGAATGAACCGCCAACTTATCCAGCGTATGTTTTACGCAGCGGATGCCCTTCCAGCCATAACCCAACACTGGAAAACACCAAGCGGCAACCTCCCGCTCTCTCTCAGGAAGCCAATACGGAAGTAACTAAAACTGCAATTCATCTGAAATTCCGCTAGTCCTGGCCGCTCCTGGCTCCAAAACAGAGCAAATTTCAATTGAGCCCACTGTTAGAATGGCCAACTTTACAGCAGAAAAAAAGGTGTTTACAGCCTGGTACAAAAAAAGATTTTGGTTCATACAGCTAATATTACCCTTCATGACAACTGTGAGGGGGGTGAATTTTTTTATAACTCATCCGTTTCCTTTATATTAAGTTATATGAAGTTTGCATAATTAAGGGAGTGGCCTTTTGATTGACAGCTAGGTCTCGTTGGTCGCCGTCACGTCACCTCAGCTGAATCCTGCAGATTAGCCACTGAACTCGGCATATTTATCGTATTTCTGTGTTGTTTTATGTGGCTTTACACAGTCAACTGCCTTTTGGACTTGTTTCCTACAATTATTAGATGGCATGGCATGCTGAGTGCACTTCATTGTGCTCACAAACCATTCAAGTGGCCTCCGTTTCCCATGTGAGTAAAGTTACATACTTATATACCATCTCTATACATGTATTTGTTTTATTTAAGATCATTTATCGTTTATATTTATATTTAGAGCTGTAATGCACTCCAGAATCTGTCAGATTGATTAGCTGTAGGCTCTAGAACAGTCATCTGAAGTGTTGTCATACAGTGTTATGCTGGATTTCATTCAATAGTCTTACATTAACTAACACAGACTGCATCTGAAGTGTTTGGAAGTAATTCGCGTTTTCCTCCTGTTGAAAAACGTCATAAGAACAATGTTTAGTGGCTCAATGTATTACAGCAGTGTTTTTAAAAGTCTAAACACTTTATTGATATAGTGTACAACCAAGCACAAGTGGTCAGAATACAAATGAGTCACAGGTGATAAAGTATTAAGCGTTCTCCCAAAGTAAAGTGTGTCTGAACCAGGTCCAAGCTAAATGCCAGCAGGTGTCTGTAGCTCCGCCCACTCTCCGCTTCTTTGCCCTTGTTTGGTATCCCGCCGTGGGTGTGATGACGCGCGAATAAAATGGCGACGGTTGGCCGCGCCTACTTGTGGCTTCTTTTGCGCTCTTTAGAAACCTATGGGTGACGTCACGGATACTACGTCCATATATTTTACAGTCTATGGAAAACACCCATACACACTCCTTCACACACATACACTATGGTCAACTTAGCTTATTCAATTCACCTGTAACGCATGTCTTTGGACTGTGGGGAGTTTTGCTACGTCAGCAGTAAATATAGGGCTTCTCTAAATATGCAACATGTTGACTGTAGCATTTCTAACAACACAATCTCATGAATTTAGGGGTTAAATCTGAATAGCCTGAAAGGCGCATTATGTAAGTTTTGCCACTAGAGGGCATGCATTCGCAACAAACAAAGGAGCAACATGTTAAAGCATCTGTTGGGTCTTCCTGTTTTCTAACATAATAACTTGACACATTGAGAGATGCCATTACCATGATCAGACAGAAATATAAAAAAATAAATCATTAAAATAGCTTACTTCTCTGGATTTGAACATTCATTAAAACATTTGGAATAATGTACGTACATACAGATGTTACTACTTCAATGTGTTCCTTGTGCCGCCATTCATATCGCGGCAACGGCGGTACTTGATGCGCCAGCAGCATTTGACCGCTGGGTGGCACTTTAACCACAGATATTCAGCTTTGCCTTTTCACAATGCAAAACAGACTTTTCTGTAGGCGTAGCTTACTGTATGTGATGTGATGTGTTCAATTAAAATATAATTTTAATTTAGTTTTTCTGGTAATAGACATGCTCTTACACTATACTATGCTGTAGAAAAGATACATGGTTAGAAGTCAAAAAGCAAATATAAGAATTAAGTTATTAGCCTTCAGTGTCCGATTAAATTGCGTTGGGGTGCAAATAATGTTTTGATTTCTTTGACTATCATGGCAATGTTATTATCTCAAATCTTATGTTGTACTAAATGTTTGTGCTTTCATTTTAGTTGTCTTTTACTTCTTCAATTCTATTTTCCAAAACGAATCCTCTTTGCACTTAAAAAGTTTACAATAAAGCGTGTTAACAAATTTTAAATGATTAATGAAGGAATTATAATGCTTTGACTTGTTGTTTAACATCATTTACAAGCACAGTAGCTGCTGTATGGGCTATTTCTGTCTGTTCGCATCCCCTCCCTTTGCGCCCCCTGGCGGCTCATTCACAAACTGCGGTCATACACTAAAAACAGAGCGGCACCTATTTCAAACGGCGGCGGTACATGCTGCGGCGTTAATAGCCACTTTGAACTCTCACCTACTGTTAGTAAGTAAAACATATAACATTGTTCTAGTGATTTTTTGGATATTTTAATGACTGAATTTAAATGATTATGCTTCAATATCTGCAATTACACACATCAATAACCAATAGAAAGGGTCATGTGTTTATGTGTTGGGCAAGTGTAAAGGCTCCTACACACCGGGACACTTTTCGTTTGCGTTTATCGTCAGCATTTTACGAGACGTTTTTTCGTATTCAAACCCAGTCGATTTTCACTGGCGTTAAGCAGAAGATTATGCAAAATCACTCCTTGACGTTAGATGGCGCTACACAACTTTAAGCTTCCGAGACCCACTTGTAACACAGAAAAAGAGGAAGAGAGGAAGTTGACATGCTTGTTGTTACAGTTACTGGTAACTCGAACAAGCATAGATGGTTCAATTAGCAGCGCCAGCTCTAGCGATAAAGAAATGATTATTGTTCACAAGAGCAATAAGCAGCTCCACGTTCATATCGCCTCTGGGCATCTTCTTCAATGTGTGCTTGCACTGACAGTTTTGCGCTGGAGCGCCTCCAAGTGCTGTTTACGGTAACTTCAGCAGCTCCGTGCACGTGAACAAAAGTGCCAACCTGATTGGTGGAGATGGTTTTAAAGCGGCGCGTCAAATAAAAAAAAAAAACGAGCATGAAGCGTTTCTTTTAAAATGACGCTTTTGCACCTGGCGTTTTGCGCGTTGGTGTGCGCGATCACATTGACACCCTTTATATAGTCATGAGTCGTTAAACGTTGACGAAGAACGCAAGCAAAAACGTCACGGTGTGCACGGGCCTTTAGGGTGTGTGTCCACCGAAGTGTTTTTTTTTCCGTCAAGCTGAGGGTTTGTTTTTTGCAGTTAATGGTAGAAAGTTGAAAGTTAAAAAACGCAGCACTTTTGAGCTAGCCGTGCAATCACAGTGCAACAGGGGCGGGACAATATCACACAACTGTCAACAAAATAATCTTTCAAACACTACAGCGGAGATGCTTTGTTTTATAGCAAACAACTGAAACTACGTTCAAAATATTTCTACAGTGCAATAACACTTCGGTGGACACGCACCCTAAGTCGGTTTCACACCGCAAGCGCAAGCAGTGCTTTTTGGGTGTCCATGTTTACAGATTAGAGCTTTCATACCGCACACAGAAGCAGCAGGTCAGCATGAGGCATGAGCGTCGTTGAAGCAGAAGTGCCGAGATAGTTTCGTCACTTGATCAATTTTTGTTGCGCTGCGCACACTTTGTTAAAGTGACAGTGCATTGATAATGACTAAACACATTGAATGACAGTAAAAAGTAGCAATTTTACCCAATAAATGCATCAGTAATATCCACTGAAAAGCTGCGCACTGCAGACGCACCTAGTGTGTAAGGCTGCTTCTGCTCTTCATACGCGCTGCTCACGCATTGCTTTTGCTTGCGGTGTGAAACAGGTGTAGGGGGTAAAAATTCTGACTTTAGTCCTTTATTCATCTGGGGTTGCCACAGCAAAATGAACCACCAACAATTTCAACATCTTTTTTACGTATCGAACGCCCTTCTAGCTGCAACCCAGTACTGGGAAACACCTATACACACTCTTACATTCACACACACACACTACAGCCAGTTTAGTACCTCAATTCCCCTATAGCACATGTGTTTGGACTGTGGGGGAAACCGGAGCACCCAGAGGAAGCCCACAGCATCTCGGGGAGAACATGCAAACTCCACACAGAAATGCCAACTGGTCCAGCCGGGACTTAAACCAGTGACTTTCTTGCTGTGAGGCAGCAGTGCTAACCATTGAGCCAAATAAGTCTAAATAATTTCTCAGACATTTTTTGTTTTCTCAGACTGCTTGCTGTGTGGAAATCTGCCATAAGATGAGCACTACTGATGGATGCAGAGACAGACACGTGTCATTGTTGCGTCTTTAAAATGCAAACTGCACCGGCAGCAACATTTCCACGAACAGATTTAAAGCCTCGGGAAACACCTGAAGCGCTGCTGCGACACAAACAAAAGCTTTTCTCTGCGGTGCTCCGGCGTGACAGATGCGTCTCCAGCTTTTTTTTATCTTACACTCGACTGCAGCTTTAAATCTGGAGGAGCGACTGCTAATGATGCACAACTCACTGGAGAGCAGGAGAGAAAAAAATCACAGCACATATGCAGCGCTGGAGGACAACATGCACACGACTCAGTGAAAGATGTTTTCAGGCACTAGGGATGCAACTATGTTTTCAGTTCTGTACATCTAAAAAAAAAAAAAAATACAGAGCTGCTTTAATCATTGCATGTACAGAACACAAACAGATCTTGCATGCATGATTGTACATGATAACGATTGAGATATAGTTTTAGAAAACACTGTTAACTCAATATGTAGTCTCACTTAAGTGGTCCGAAACATTTATGAGTTTCTTTAATTTGCTGAACACAAAGTGAACTTTATTTTTAAACTCATTTCGAGAGGATCACATGCTTATGATTGCTTGCAGTCGGCCCCGCATTATTCAATTTACGATTCACCAATCAGACGATTACTAAGCCACTATAAATACCCTCAGTTCCATATGACAGCCATCTTCTTTTTGAAGAACCCCAAGGATCTTATGAGTTCTCTCCAAGGACAGCATGTCAAAACAAGCTTCATAATCAACCATCAGCTAAGTGTGTGAACTCTTGAAGGAAAATATTTTGAAGAAAGCTGGAAAAATTATCTTTTGTGTTTAACAGAAGAAAGAAACTCATTTGAATTTGAAACAAGTAAAGGGAGAGTAAATATAGGCCGAATGTTCATTTTAGGGTGAACTATACCTTTTTATTTTAAATTTTAAAAGCTGTATATGCTTTAAAAAATAAACTTTCATTTATTCATTCATTTTCCTTCAGCTTAGTCCCTTTATTAATCAGGGGTCACCAAAGAGGAATGAACTGCCAACTTATCCAGCAAATATTTTACACAGCGGATGCCCTTCCAGCCGCAACCCATTACTGGGAAACACCCATACACTCTCATTTACACACACACATACACTACAGCCAATTTAGTTTTTTCAATTCCCCTATGACGCATGTGTTTGGACTGTGAGGGAAACCGGAGCAATCCAAGGAAAGCCATGCCAAAACAGAACATGCAAACTCCACACAGAAATGCCAACTGACCCAGCTGGGACTCGAACCTGCTGTGAGGTGAAAGTGCTTACCACTGCGCCACCGTGACACCCATACTAAAGATATAGTTCTAAAAAACCATTGACTTCCTTGGTAGGAAAAAACACATACTATTGAAGTCAATGGTAATAGGTTTTCAGCATTCTTCAAATGATCTTCTTTTGTGTTTAACAGAAGAAAGAAACTCATAAAGGAGAGAGTAAAGGGAGAGTAAATAGTGACAGAATTTTTAAGGTGATCTATCTATCTATCTATCTATCTATCTATCTATCTATCTATCCATCCATCCATCCATCCATCCATCCATCCATCCATCCATCCATCCATCCATCCATCCATCCATCCATCCATCCATCCATCCATCCATCCATCCATCCATCCATCTATCTATCTATCTATCTATCTATCTATCTATCTATCTATCTGGGTTAGCGAAGCCGTGATTAAATTTATTTGAATAATCAATGTTATCCCAACTCAAATGGATTAAGTTAAAATTTTTTAATTTTTTATTATAAATTTAAGTGGATTGAAGATAACACTATTGAGTTGTCAAAAAAAAAAACTCCAGAATCGTGTTGTCTCAGCTCATTTGAACTAAGTAGTTTGAACAGGCTGCAAAAATTTGTTTTTGAGTGTTGTCTCTAATTTCTTAGATACTTCATAAATTGTGTACAGAATTAGCTTTTATTTGAGCAATTCTTAAATAATTAGAGAAATGCTTTTTCTTAAGAAAATAATTTAAATGGAATATAAAAACTTTTTAAACAAACAATTGCTTGATATATATATATATATATATATATATATAAGCAATTTAGGTTTAGTTTTCCCCTCTGCTGTGCTGAAAATCTATTTAAAACTGTCAAACACAGCAAAAGGTACTAATAAAATAAAAGTAACAAAATTAAATAAAATGTTTTTGTGCTTCATCACACAGTGGGTAGCACGTTTGCCTCACAGCAAGAAGGTCGCTGGTTCGATCCTCGGCTCAGTTGGCGTTTCTGTGTGGAGTTTGCATGTTCTGCCTGCGTTCGCGTGGGTTTCCTCCGGGTGCTCCGGTTTCCCCCACAGTCCATGCGGTACAGGTGAATTGGGTAGGCTAAATTGTCCGTAGTGTATGAGTGTGTGTGTGGATATTTTCCAGAGATGGGTTGTGGCTGGAAGGGCATCCGCTGTGTAAAAACTTGCTGGATAAGTTGGCGGTTCATTTCGCTGTGGTGACCCCGGATTAATAAAGCGACTAAGCCAAGAAGAAAATGAATGAATGAATGAATGAATGAACGCTTCTACGCAACACACACTCTCTCAGACACACACACACACACACACACACACACACACACACACACACACACACACACACACACACACGTGTACCTCCAGATCTCCACAGTCACATTGCTCTCCCTCCTCCACATATCCGTTTCCACACTTCTGTCCTCCATAAAGCACCTTTACTTCCGGCATGTTGAACAAACACATGCCCACACCTTTCTCCAAACTTGCCGCCAGATCCTTCTTACTGCACGTGCTGAAGACCGTCGGGAAAGGGTACCTAAGAAAGACGAAACCCGAAAAACAGCACATCAGTGGTGATTTCAAACCTGCGACTTTGTTTTAGAGCAAACCTGTAAACAAAAAAACAAAAACAAAAAACCCAACAATCTCCACAAGACTAATTTTTATTTTTTTTACTATCAACATACACACAAGTTGTAGTATCAACTTTTGTTACTATCAACCTATGCACAGGCTGTAAAGGCCCCGTCCTCTTCTAGAAAAGGGGCAGAGCAGAGCAGCTCATTTGCATTTAACGACACACAACACAAATCTGCATTTTTGTTAAATGTAAAGGCTCCACCCTCTTCTGGAAAGAGGGCGGACCGCAGTATCTCATTTGCATTTAAAGAAGCGCACACAAAAAAATCTAGTTTTGATTCCACTCTAGAAGGTGCATTCACAGCAGATAATAAATGTTGTGAAGACCCTTTTTTGGAGCTAAACAGTCACTTTTATCATACTTTGTAAGTAATGCGATCTCTACAAAGAAGACCATTCAATATTTTAATTACTTTCAACATATGCACAGGCTGTACTTTCAACTTTAGTTACTATCAACATTTGCACAGGCTGTAAAGGCTCCGCCCTCTTTTGGAAAAGAGGTGGAGCACAGCAGCTTATTTGCATTTAAAGAAGCAAAGCACAGAAAAAACTATGTTTGAAGAAGTACCACCCCAGAAGTTGCATTTACAGAAGAATATAATAAATTGTGGAGGTACAATTAAAACCTGCAATTTTAAAACCTTACTTATGTAAAATTCTGAAAAAAAGATGATATCCACAAAGAAGAAACTATATGTTGGTAGTAACTTAATTGAATAGTGTTCATTCATAATACATTTTGTAAAAAAAAAAAATTAATAATAATAATAATATGATCTCTGTAAAGAAAACTGACTATTCAATTGTGTTACTTTTAACATATGCACAGGATGTAAAGGCTCCACCGCCTTCTGGAAAATGAAAATTCGACATGTTTGATTCCGTACCAGAAGGTGAATTTACAGCAGAAAATAATGCAAAATGAGTTGCTGATCTCCGCCCCTTTTCCTGAAGAAGGTGGAGCCTTTACAACCTGTGCATATGTTGATAGTAGCTTAATTGAATAGTGTTCATTCATGACAAATTTTGTTAAAAAAAAAAATAATACGATCTCTGCAAAGAAAACTGAATATTAACTTTTGTCAACATACAGTTGAATTATTAGCCCGCTTGAATTATTAGCTCCCCTGTTTATTTTTTAACGCAGAGAAGATTTCTTCAACACTAAATATAATTGTTTTAATAACTCATTTCTAATAACTGATTTGTTTTATCTTTGCCATGATGGCAGGAAAATATTTGACTAGATATTATTCAAGACTATACAGCCTAAAGAGACATTTAAAGGCTTAACTAGGTTAATTAGGTTAACTAGGCAGGTTAGAGTAATTAGGCAAGTTATTGTATAATGTTGGTTTGTTCTGTAGACTATTGAAATACAATAGCTAAAAGGGGCTAATAATTTTGACCTTAAAATGGATTAAAAAAAATTAAAAAACTGCTTTTATTCTAGCCGAAATAAAACAAATAAGAATTTCTCCAGAAGAAAAAATATTATCAGACATACTGTGAACATTTCATTGCTCTGTTAAACATAATTTTGGAAATATTTAAAAAAGAAAACAAAATCAAAGGGAGTAATAATAATAAGCTTATAATTCTGAATTCAATCGTATGCACACATGAATGGACCAATCAGATGATGGAACTCCTGCCAAGAGATTGACGTTATCCTGTAAGTGCTGATTGGCACCAGGACTGAAACTGTTTCCAGAGGGTAGAACAGCGAGCGATAAGAGATATTTATGAGTGCTGGACCTGTAAGAAACCCCACTGACAGCATTCAGCAGATCCCCTGAGCTGTGAACTGGAGAAGCGGGAAGTGTTTGTGTGAGCGTGTGCCAACTCTTCAAAACACACATGGATCAGTTCAGCTGCATTTGGACTGAATTATCCGGCAAATCAAGATTCAAGCAGACCTGGTGTTTGTTCATTTTATTCACAGTTATCATTATTGCAACCTAGCTGCCATATAAGCAAACACCTTAGCTACTCCTTAGCAATGATATTGTAAATAAACGAAACACATATGGCTGTGTCTGAAACTGCCTACTACTTGAGTAGATTCTACATTTGAGTTTGAGTTTACTACACGACCCTTAGAAAAGCAAGTGGTGCTCGCTGCAGAGCCATTTGGGCGAGCTGAGCTCCAGCGAGGGGAAGCTTGAGCTTGAGCTCCACCTTTTTTGCACTTCTTCTAAGTGTGATGTCACTGGGGGTAGGGTTAGGGGTGGGGTTGGTGTACGCATTAAAACAGCTTACAGGAGGCAGAACGAGAGCTCATGCTCCCCCTTGCTAGAGCTCAGCTCTGCTCAAATGGCTCTGCAGCGAGCACCCTCTCTAGAAAAGTGCAATCCAAATCAGTGATTCCCAAACTGGAGGACAAACACAGGACAATGACAGAGCCAGAGGGTCGCTTGGTGATTTCTAAAAGTCAAATAAAATTTTATGAAGCTATTAGAATTACCATATTTTATCCATAACCCACACAAGATAGAGATAGTAGTTAATAGTTACATAAAAAACAACATGCAAATGTAAAGAACCGGGCTTCAGCATTAACGCTTGACAGAGGCCGTGTCTGAAGGTGGGGCTGACGCAATCATCATAGCAGCGTCAGCCAATGAAATTAGTCTGCAATTGGCTAAAGTCTGAGCTGGTGTATTTGCATAAAGCGATCTGATTGGCTGACGCTTCCGTTGGTGCTTGAAAAGTTGAGAAAGTCCCAACTTCTGCAGTGAGCAGCGGCGCCGACGGATCCACAACACAGCTTGGCAACGCCTCATGTCACAAATTCAAAGTGAATTGGAAGCGTTGACGGGGGCGTCAGCCTTACACTAGATTAAAATTACAGCAATAGTGTCAGATGTAGCAGATTGATTTTATAGCACCAGATTAAACTATCTGACACCTTTATGGCAAAATCCCAGTAGATCAGCAGTTTCTGAAATACTCAGAGCAGCCCGTCTGGGACCAACAACCGTGCCATGTTCAAAGTCACTTAAATCACCTTTCTTCCACATTAAGATGCTCGGTTTGAACTGCAGCAGATCGTCTCTAAATGCATTGAGTTGCTGCCATGTGATTGGCTGAGTATAAATTTGCATTAACGAGCAGTTGGACAGGTGTACCTAATAAAGTGGCCAGTATACACCCTGGGGCTAGACAAAAAAACCCGAAACGCCTGGTTTTAGACCACAATAACTCGTTAGTATAATGTAGGGCAGCTCCTTTTGGGGTCAACACAGCATCAACTGGTCTTGGGAATGACAGATACAATTCCTTCACAGTGGCCGGAAGGATTTTGAGTCATTCTTCCTGCAGAATAGTGGCCAAGTCATTACATGATGCTGGCTGAGGAAAACTTTGCCCACATTAAGTATGATTTTTAATAATGAGTACAACTAGGTCATGCCCATGTTATTATACAAATTATTGCCCTTGTAAACCACTAAAACCAGTAAACACACACACATCAGTATGCTGAAGTGTGAACTCTAATGTGTGTGTTCCTCCGATGTAAAACTAATAACACGCCTGTTGTTGCTTGTTTTCCTCCGCAGGGCTGAAGATTGCCGTGTGATTGTGATGAGATTGTGATCGAGTAATAGCTCTTGAATTATTGAAATTGTTTGGCACAGGCAGGTTTGATTGGCTCTGATGTGATTGTGAAGTGTTTGTATGCGAGATGTCACGCGCAAAGAAACATCTGTCCATGCTGTCAAACACAGAAACTGCTGTCATCCGCACAGGTCGCCCGGATCTGCTCTGAATTTCAAACATCAGTCTGGAACAGAGACCAACACAACATATGACTGCATGAAATCACTCATATAGAGCCAATCTGTCCATGCTTTTCAGCACATGTTGTGTACTGGATACAGGTTTGTCAATTAGCCTAACTAATACAGCTTGATTTGTCAGCACTGTGTAAATATTCTGCTAAACGTTTACAGTACAAGCTAATTATTAGGAGTGGTTGACATCAGTAACTGTTATAATTGATCTGATGCTAAATAATATTAGCCATTGTGTGCTGTTGGGGATGTTTTCATCCAGCTTTCTCTTTTTAGTAAATAGAATGACTTTTGGTGACAAAAATTAAATCAAATTTTCTCCAGAATTCATCAACGCACTCAGGGAAATTAACACTCTTTCATTATGTTAGGGGCTGTTTTTGCCCCATTGACTTTTGATTAAAAAGACATTTACTGATTGCAAAGCCATGACAGCAAAAACAGCCACGAACATAATGAAAGGGTAGAAAATGCGTAGTCAATCTATGATTACTAAGTATTTCTGTCAAGATTACCAGCGATCGTATTCGACTAGAACGAACAAATGAATAAACACACACAAACAAACGAATGCATGAATAGACGCATGCACGAACGAATGAATGTATGAAAACACAAACAAACGAATGCATGAATAGACGCATGCACGAACGAATGAATGTATGAAAACACAAACGAACGAATGCATGAACGCTCGAACGCATGAATCCACAAACGAATGAACATATGAACACGCGAACGAACGAATGCATGAATGGACCCATGCACGAACGCATGACTGCACAAACGAATGAACATATGAACGAACGGATGGATGAACGCACGCACGAACACATGAATGGAAAAAGCTTTTAAATGCAGGATAATGTGGGGCCTGTCTTTGCTTTTCACCGTGTGGAATTGAATGAAAGCCTATTAGTTAATTTCATGTTACTGGCCAACAGCTCCTGCCCTCATTTCAGTAAACACCAATCAGAGAAGAGAAAATGATGGAAGGAGGTGGAGCGTATAGCGGTTTTCACAATAGTTCTTGTTTCAAAAGTTGCATATTATTATATTACAATAAAAATCTGAAAAGTTAAGATGACTAGTTAGC